GCGTTGGGGCAACAGGCGAAGGGGTCGACAGCTTGTCCCACGACGAGTCACCGCCGCCGTCCCCTTCGTCTGCTGCTCCTACGGGGCTGGAGGGCCTACGAGACCCTGTCGTTCAGGAACGACTCATGTGGAAGACGATACTTCTATCCCTCCTCGAGCCCCCGGACATCGAGGTCACGAGGGCCAACAGGGAGGCTGAAGGCAGCGGGATGATCGGCGGCGAGATATACGTCGGTGCACCTAAAGCAGCTGCTGCATCCTGACGCCGCGCCGCCAAGGCCGTCACCGTTCACCGCTCTCGCCGCTCCCGCCGCCGCCGCTCTCGCCGCCGCCGGCGAGGGGATGTCTAGGTGAGACACGGAGCTTTGAATAGGCACCATCTCACTAGCGATGTATGCACAGGTCGAGCAGCTGTACCTACGTTGCCAGTGAGATGGTGACCATAGAAAGCCCCGTGTCTCACGTAGGTTTCCCTGCGGCGGCGGCGGTGGGATCGGCTGCGGGAGCAGGGGGAGCAGCGGGAGCGGCGGCCGGTGACGGCCTTGGCAGCGCGGCGTCACCGCCGGGTGTTGGTGGAGGCGGGGGTGACGCCAGCGGTGGTGGCGGTGGCTACGGCTACGGCGGCGGCGTTGGGGGCGGAGGGCAGGCTGCGGACTCCTTGGCCATGGTAAGAAATTGCAAATTTCGTTCATTTCTACATATACTCAATAATACCTCTGTATCGGTGCGTTCGTGGCTTTGAGCACAATGTGGAGCGTCGTGGGTGTTGTTTTGTTTTCTGAATATCGTTGTCGGCTAGACGGTCCGGCGTCGTACCAAGCCCCGACCTTCGGAATAGTTGCCATAGAGTCGTATCTTCAACAACAACCTGCTTGCCCACCTCCCCTCGAACCTTCCCACCGTTCCGAACCCCTACCCACTCACGTACACCCCGTCCGTGCAGTTCGACGCTACGATTCAACCGCCGCCATCCAGGAACACCGGTATTTTCGACGGCATCGTATCCGACTCCTTCGACGGTCTCTTCGACAGGCAGGACTCGATCTTCCGCTCGTGGCCGTCGCCGTCCCGCGCACCGTCGTCGCCACCACGCCCGCCGCCGCCAACGAGGTCACGATCACCGCCGTCCCGGCCGTCCCCGCCATCCGAGTCGCTGCCGCGTTCCGTGCCTTTACCGGACAGCCACACATGGCAGCAGCAGCAGCAGCGGCAGCAGCGGCAGCAGCAGTGGCCGGGGCACGGCGCGGCCGGACTGCCGTCTACCTTCGCTCCCGACCGCCTCGGTTTGGGATGATGTAGGAGCGGAGGTCAAGAGGCGGCATCGCCACCGCCGCCACCCCCGCCGTCCCCACCGTCTCCGTCGTCCCCGCCGTCCCCGCCTTCCGAGCAAGTCAACCTCGCGGATTCCGCAGAGTGGTTGTTCGTCGTCCGCCCCGTGCTGGGAGAGGGAGCGGGGGTAGGTGGTGGTGGCGCGTTGACGTCTGCTGCTGCCGTTGCTGCCGCTGCTGCCGCTGCCGCTGCTGCCGCAGTCTTGGACGCGCCCGCCCCGGTCCCCGTCGCCGTCGACAACACGGCCGGGGCCGGCAGCGGTGGCAGCGGCGCTGACGATGCCGCGGCTCCGTTGCTGACGAACGCCTTCGCCACGTGGTTCCGGTCTGCCCGTTCGCCGATCCCGGCGACGGGAGGGATCTGCCGGGCGGTGAGGGCGGTGTCGGTGACATTGTCGTCGTTGGTGTGTCCGTGCTTCAAGATGATGCACGATGACGACGACGACAACGACGATAGCCAGAGCGAGAGGGAGTAGGGCCGCGGCCAAGAAGGAGGCGAGAGCGAGGGAAGCGTCGACAGACACAACCAAGTTGTGGGGTGCGCCAGAAGAGCACAGGTTGTCTGTCTAGATGAACGGCGGATACCTCCATAGTATGCATAGTCCAAACACGGGCATCGCGGCCCAAACAACGGGAGATAGTAGCGACCGTTTTTTGGTGCAACTTTTCACGGAACAACCTTCTACGTACATGTAGGAGTGGGTGAACCTTGTGTATGGTTGATTGCTGATGACGTGCTCCTCGGATTGGATTGTTTCCGCTATAATAGTATCAAACTGAAGCTTGTAGCTCAGTCTTTGCGCGGTGGTAGCGGTAGATAGCAGCACGTTGAACAGCGGTCGCCGCTTGACCCGAGGAGCGGCAATTGGTTGTACAATTCTCTTGCCCCCCTCCGGTGCGTTCGCCGCACTTCACTTCACGTCTATCCTAAGCATTCGAGAATGTAGCATTTCTTTGCTGATTTTGTTGCTTTGTAGTTTATTTTTTTCTCTTAGTGTCTAATCGTGACTTTTTTTTTTGTAAGGCAGGGTATGGAGTTTTTCCTCTCCGACCTTGCGATTGCGATATATGTCTGCTTGACTGCGTGTATTTCCTCGTGAATTGCCCAGTTAATCCGGAGAGCGAAGTGATCTGGCGTGTTGGGTGTCCTTGGAACGGGATAAGGTTGGGTGTGTTACGACCTCTTCCACTAAGCGATGATGGCCCCGTTGAAGAGGTTGAACTACATGTTATGTATCGTAGATATGCATCACAGCGATCGGTGCACGGACTATTGTGTGTGAGTCGAATCTTCCTGTGTTTCGCTGGATTATCAACAGAATAATTTAGCGCAAGCGAGACCGCGGCCGCGGCTCCGCGCTGTGTGCCCGGTATTGGGACCCACACTAGCGAATAAGCTGTCTGTTTTGTTCGGGGGACCCTGTAGCGGGGGGTTCTCATGACTGCACTAGTTTACTACTATTTGTGCTGATCGCTGATCGGCGCACAACAAGTATTGGTGGAGTGACTATAAGAGGGAGGGAGGGGATGTATATACACTAACTATAAGGAGTGGCCTACTGCCCGACAATATTCACTGGTCAAGTAGAGTGGTGGGTTGAAGGGCCCTGTAGCGGGGGCTCCTCGAGACTGAGTCAACCTGGATACGTTGGCGCGGATATCTGGGACGGGAACGGGTTTACGGTACGGGTAAGAGTAACGGGTAACGGTACGGGTAGTACGGTAGCACGGGTTAAGGGTTAGTAGCTCGAGATGGGGGGTCAGGACCGGGGCGCCCTCTGTGTGCGTACGTGTGGCTTCTACCATCATTATGATGTTTCTGATTGGCAACCCCTGCGGGTACGATCGACTCTATACACATGGGTGCGATATACACGGGTTGTGTGGGCTCGCTCCGGATGGCGCAGCGAGAGTCGAACCTCATGCGCCTGGAGCGGTGGCAAACTCCGGGCTTCGCATGCATGAGTTGCCATCTGTTCACGATGATTCCTCACACCACACGGCACAAGTCAATGGCTTTCGGACTACCGAGCTTTCATTTTTCTTCAACCTCCCCATGAACTCTACCTCTCCCGTCCTCCTCGTCTCTCATATCGACATTATCTACATACGGAAGCAGGATCCGAAGAAATCAACATTCGCACCAAAATTACAAACGGTATCGACGCATGATAGCATCCACTACATACCAATTCTTCCAACAACACTCCCGCCGCCAAAATGTCACAAACCACGTCTCCTACTTTCTTCCAAAAGCCTCTCTATCCCCGGCCAGGGGCACCACTCGCCGGAACCCCCCCCGGAGGAAGACGACGAAGACGACGAAAAGTACCCTATGACGTACGCCGCCGCCTTGCCCACGAAATCCACTCCGTAGTCGGCCCCTTCGGGGAACTCTCCCGGGGTACCGCAGGTCACCCCGTTGAACGACCACCCTTGCGGAGAGTTGGCTGCAAGTCCGGTGTGGATAGGGGGGGGCGGGTAGCAGTGATGTAAGAAACAGCATGTGATGCGTGACGGGATAAACTCATCGTCGTCGGGTCTCGAGCCAACCCTTATTGAGACAAACGTGCATGACAACAACAAAAAATAAAGTCAAAAAGGACAACAAGACATAGAGTGGGGTAGTCACCTTCAAAGAAAGCCGGAGGTTTGTCGCTGCCCCTTTTCCATCGGCCCATCGGGGGGCTGGCGCTGATATGGGTCCGCTCCACGGACTCCGCCGAGACGTAGGTGGCGCAAAAGGCGCTGCGACGGAGGATGTCAATGACACAAACACAGACACACACACACACACACACACAAACAACAAACACATCGACGGATGGTAAGAGAATGAAGGCTCTGATGGGAGGAAGCCGGGGGGGACACAAGTGATGCGCGTGTGAAAGGCTGCATTTGGTGACTTTTCAAGTGGTCTTCGGCAACACGGGCAATGAAAGTCGTCGCTGAGAGAGAGGAAATAGGGATAGGGAAACGCAAAGAGAACTCTGCAATAAAAAAGGGAAGGAGAGAAAAAGGCGCCATGGGCAGAGGAGAGGAAGAGCCTAGTCACTCGTCGCCATGATCTAGAGTATATAAGAATCCCCGCTTCAACTATGCCGGCACGATTCCGAAACGGCCCAACAAGATCATGCCCACTAGAGGTTTCGCAGTAGTGCAGCGGGGTCACACTCTCCCGGCGCCCGGTTCGGTGCCCATGATTCAACTGCTTGCTTCCTCCATTCCCAAACCGGCCACATTGCTGTGGCAACAGTGCCGCTTGACTTTCTTTCACCGATATACCGTACCGCATCATCGCGGGACCCCTTCCGAATGAGGGAAACACAACACCATTCCACATCCAGAACGGCGACCTACCCGTTCAAAGCGTGCCCATGGGTGGTTTGCACAACGAAACAACATGTTATTCAACCTACCGGCAGGGGGTATAGCGTTTCCTTCCTGGAGTGGAAAGGTTGGCCTTCGCCTCCAAGCAGCAATTGAACAAAACCAAACGTGAACTCTATCAGCAGGAGGAGTATGTGATCCGGTGTGCATACACAATAAATACCCGTGGTTTAACCGGCAGGCGGAGAAACTTTCCCGTGGAAGATACACGTGGGATCTACCGGCATGAGGCGAAATTCAATCGGGTTGCACATAGTAAATAACCGTCGTATCAACCGGCAGGCGAGCACACCTTCCAGGGGAGGAAAGACTGGCCAGGACCCGAAGCAATGCCACAAGCTCTTTCTCCTCAAGGTACCTGTTTGGTGACGACAAGAAGGCCAGCGAGGAATGTCATGCGTGGGTCTCACCTTTTCATTTTTACATCACTTACAATCAGCACTCACGGCATTCTCCTCCCACCCATTCCTCCTGAGGTGCTTTCCTTCGATTCGTCAAAGGGTGAAGGATTGGCCCGTAAAAGACATGTCTTGGGACGTCGTCGACTTGTGTGAAGTCCCGTCTTCGTTCTCTCCATTCTGCTGTGGTGTCATGTTCATGTAACCGATACCTTCATATGATGAGTGTACAAGCTAATCACGCCTGCCTTCAGACCACCACAAAAGATACACTGCCGATGACAGCAGGCGACCTAAAACCGACAGACACAAAAACTTGGTAGCAACAACGACAACAACAACTAACAACCGTTCCAAGCATCCTCACATGTTCAGCCCCTCCAAGATCCACGCGCTCGGCAGGCTGGGGTCGGAGCCTGCCTCGAACAGCTCCCCCTGCCACCCTTCCACGCTCAGGGCGGCCTGCACAGGGACAACGCGCCCCTGGCCGACACCGCCGTCCCTCCTCTCTCGAAACCCCGCCAAAGCCGCGGCTACTTCGTCGGCCGCCGCCGCCTGCGTGAGAAGGGCGCTCTTGACGCGAAGCACGAGCGCTTGGTCCACCTCGAACACCTGAAGATACACACAGCAGTGATGGAGGGAAAAATAACAAAAAAAAGCGAGAGAGTCACGAAAACAAGGCTGTGTTGGGTTCGAGTTCGAGTTCATTTCCGTGGTTGTAGAAACGCCTCGGTGGTTGTGAAAAACACCCCCTGATTGCTCGCTCGGGTTCGAAGCACACCGAGGGTGCTTCAAGAGGTGAAAAGCACAACATAAAAAAAAATACTAAAATCCAGCACACACGTAGCAAAGTTGTGTCTCAGAAAAGCTCAAAACTCGACATGCTTGGCCTACTCTTCGAACATGTTCGGGGCACACATCGGATAGGGTTGCGTTTCGAAGCAACGCCAACGAGTGTCCACGGTGCCAAGCTCGCCCGCGCGGTCAGCCTTCAACGCCTGCTGCGGAAGCCGCCGTAGTAACAACAACAAGCAGGCCATGGTGTGAAAAGAGCTTCTTTTCCGGCACACGTTTCGGAAGGACACGAGTCGTCAATTGACGTAGCCGTAGCAGCCCTAGCCACCCCCCACTCACATTACCCCCCCTCACCCTGATTCACATATTTCTATTTGTGAGCCCCCGCCCCCGCTCACGCAAGCGCACGCGCGGGCACCCACGTTCTGTTCACCTTGGTGTCCCCCGAAGCCCTGCGCCGTAGCCCCCTCGTGTCCATGCCCGCCCCCAACGACACGATCTGCAGACGTACAGAGGGCCACGGGTAGAGATACGTCCGGGTGAACGTCGTAGCACACGAGAGGTCTGTGCGGCCTTACTTGTTGGGGAGGGGGGGGACCGGGGTGACTGTGAGAAGACACGAGCGTGGATTGTATTGGGCTTTGGAGACGACCGGCCACGATCGGCAAGCTGAGTACGGATTTGGGGCATCCTCCTCGTTACGAGCAACAGGCTTGAGGGTTCTCTCACACAGCGTGGAACCACCTGCACGCCCCCCTCCCCCCTCCCGCGCGCACTTACGCCGATCAAACTTCGTACCGAATGCTCCGTTATTCCTTGCAGGACGCAAGTGGACACCCCGCTTGCTGCTTGGCTGCTGTGGGGTAGGGCCTCGGGGACGTACGTTACGTGACGAGAAAACTAAGCGCCAAGACGTGCACTGCGACGGTCCGGACGAGGAGATAGATTGGGGTGGCGTCAGAGAGGGAAGCAGGAATGAATCGAATACAGGCTACGACCAAAGCCATCCAAGTACCTGCCCGTAATTCGGGCCATGCCCGTTTCTGTTTTTCCACCACCCCTCCGCAGGCGGGTGCAGTAGGGGACGTCGTTGCACAATGCCCGTCGCCGGTGAAATCGCATGTGAAGCACATTGAATATTCAAGGTGTCTCACACGCTGAATAGCGCCGGGTGTCCGGCGCAAGGCTGGCCAAAACTCCTTGGCACCATGTGGCCTTAAACAGGGACCCCTACGTTAGGCTAACCTCCTTGATATGCCCCTCTTGTAACCATACGGCATTCAACCAAAGACCACAACTAGGCGAACCTGCCTAGATACAGGGCCTTGGAAACACACAATAGTCAGGACCAAATTGGAGCAAATGAAACAGCGTGTGTGGGGGTGCAACTTTGTAGCACCTACGTCGTTGTTCAGTGGAATTTTGGCGTTCGAGTTTTGAAAGCCGTGCCGTCCCTTCGCGCTATCATATGATCTAATTGCAGATCATACTACAAGAGCGATTATCATACTGCAAGAGTGAAGATCATACGGCAAGAGTGAAGATCATACTGCGAGAGTGAAAATTAGCCCCGTTTTTTTTGTTTTGGCGCTGACTATAATGTGCTAGGCTAACCTGCTTGATCCCCCTCGGCCCTGCGCAGTCCTCAAAGAAGTCGTCGCAGAAGCGTGTGCGGATGGCCAGCCGCGTCTGGACGTCCCTAGGGACACCATCGCTTGCCGCGGCAGCGGTGGCGGCGGTGGTGGCTTCCAGAGGTGGTGCTGACAACTCCTCTTGCGCCTTGACCTTCTCCCGGTCCTCGACGGTCTGTATGGGATCGGGGCCGGCCTGAAGCAACAAGTAGACGGAGGGGGGGTGGGTACTCATGTAAACGCATGCCGTAGTCGTTGGCCCACTGACATCGCATCCTTACAATGCCGGGACGGAGCAAAATGCCGGGTTCCGCCGGCACAGGCTACGTTTCACAAGAATGAACCAGAAGCTGGAGGCACTTGGGGGAGGGGGTGATGCCGTTGGTACACCATTGACCTCGAGAGGACGGAGCATTTTTCCAACAGAGGACCGAGCATTGTTCCAACAGAGGACCGATCACCGATCGCCAGTCATTCCTTCCTGTCGAACTCTGGTACTCACGAGAGCGTTTCCAGCTATATTTCGCTTTCGCCCGCAAACTTGGATTTTTTTCACCCCATGGGGACTCGAACTCAAGACCTTTGCGACTAGTGGTTTTCGAGGATACCACTAGACCACCGGGGCAACCGGAGCTCACCAATGCGACGCTGCTTTTTTCGTGCGTCGTCATCTGTCAACAAATTAGTCCAGAGTCGCTCCAGCCCACAGCGGTGAACTCCTCCCAATTCTGCTCAATGTAGGACACGCGCCAGTACCGCGGTAAAAGGAAAGCACTTGGTCTAGACGCCAAGCGCTTCCAGAAAGTGATACCTCCCAGGAACAGATCTCAGGGGTGGGAGCAAGGCGGCGAGCACGGGGGTTGACCGAGACAGAGGTAGCGTGGATTAATCGCAGGTTGTACACATGTCAGCGCAGTGAAGTATTCCAACGGCACATGCAGGCACTATTCCATCTCCTGATCCCCTCTTTTAAACCATCTCGTTGTAGAGGCGAAACGGACCCACTCGCTAGCTGGGCATCTCATCTCTACACCTATCTGTTCTGGCAGCGCGACGGGTGGGCTGTTTGGTTGTAGATCTAAGCGTCTGGTTCAGACGAGGGAGGAGAGGGACCGCCCCGAGCAGGATAGCCTGTCAGCTCCCTGCCGAATTGACTATCAAGCCCATCACGTTAAAGATTGGGCAGTGTCACCACACAGTATCGGAGAGAGCAAGCACATTGGCTGTTTGGCACATCAAAAAGCTTCACGATTAGACTCCTCGACTGCCGTTAGTCCTCGCGTAGTTGTTGGCTGTTTAGGGTTTTTGCGTGTAAGATTGTGTTCAGACCTTAGATATATGTGGTTGTTTGGCTCTACCAGATGAAAGAAGGGCAGGGTTACACCGCTTTTTATGGCTCCACAATGCTGAAAAAAAAGCTGCATTTCTGCAACTTCTCTTGCAGCTTTGCTTTTGTACGCTCAGCATGGGAGCTAAAAGTTGCACGAAAAGTTCTGCAACTTTTTTTCCGGAGCGCAAAAGCTGCAATCTGGCCGAAACGTTTTGCAGCTTTTCTCGAGTCGGGAAGGGGCGAGAAAAGCTGCACGGCGGAAACTATACCGGTTCACGCCAAGCTGCTACCCCTACCGCACACGTACACCCTCCCCAGCGTCGATGGTGGGAAGGCCGTGATCACCGATATCTCGACGAATGCTTCATGGGTTGCCTCATGAATCGTATCTGGAAGGAGGTGATGCCATGGGCTGTTGGGCAATGCCAAGGTTTGGGGCCGTGAGGTGCCGAATGCGCCGGGAAAAAAAGCTTGTCCCGTGCACAACGGTCAACGGCCGCGAGCGGTTAGTTCAAGCTCGATGTTTTTTACCGCCACGAGTTTGGTTATCCATCCAAGGGTGCTCGTAGAAAAAAATTCAAGACACATAGGCCCCCCCCCCCCCCCCCCCGGAGGGGGGAAAAATTTAAAAATTTCCCGGGAACCTCCAAAAATTTTCCATGGTTTGCCCGGGGGCAGGGTTAAAGGGAGGGGAAAAATG